CTTTAACCAATTCCATAAAAAGCCATATACAACATTTAGAAAAATTCAAAAAATTTTCATGTAAATTTCGAAGGTATGGAGTTTTATAGCCCATAATATTTGAATTTAACTAACAAAGTGCAGCTAAAAATTCCTGTTAATTTACCAAAGTGGCAACTCTGAACAAGACAAAATTTTGTATTTCTCTATGCCAGAGCTTTTATTGTGAGCCACGCCTCCACCCTCTCCAAGCCCACTGGCATAAGAATGTAGAGAGAAGAACTAAAAACTTTGACAATGCCATTAAGATGAGCTGCATAGCTGCCCAACAAACATTAACAGGTCTATTCTTCGATGTTAACAAAGATTTTGTAACCGGTAAATAAAGTTCCTGTCTATTTTTAAACCCTTTAAGAGCCGTTTATATATGATTTTCCTCGCTTTGCTTGACAGTTCGAACTTTAACAACAAAGCGTGAAGCGTTGAAGGTATGCTACAATAAACGAATTGACAGCTTCTACGTTCTTCTATTATAATATACATTTATACTAGCAATAATAATTCATATGTACCTTATTTTTGTCTTCAAACGCAAATGCAAGCGCGCGAGAAAAGTTACACGTAAACAGCTGATTGCCAAAGTGCGCAAAAGTTGAGATTTGCCCATGATTTTGCTTCGCTTTGCTTTCCCCGCATTCTATTTAGCAAGAATCATATAAAGTCATGTATTGAACTTATCTGTCAAAGCGCAACTCTAAAGCAAAGCGAAGCAAAAGTCGTATGTAAACAGCCCTTTACGCATTCTTGTAATCGGAAAATTTTGTTATCATAAGCTGGTATGTAAGAAAATATTTCCCCGTCAAATATGCAATTCCAGAATTTTCAACAAATCTTCATAGGTGACAAAAGTCTTTCGTAAATCAAATTGTCCATTGGGCAGCTATCTTAAAAGCTCTTTTCTGTATTACGAAACTAATTTAAAGATATGCTAACTGTCTTTAAGCATTTAGTCATGTATAAATTAAATGAAATTAAAAAATATATATACGTATGTTTCTTAAAAATTAAAATAAAAAGTAAAAATTAAAACAAAAAAGTAAAGTTAACAACAAGAATNTTATAAGATTATAAATTAAATTTCCAAGAGAAAGTCGGTTCTTTACATATTTTCTAATTACCTTCGAAAATATATTAACTCAAAAAAAAAAATAAACAATGCTTCATAGATCGATTTTTTTAAATCTAACTTCATAAAGTTCTTTAAAAATATTTTGTAAATGAGGCCATAAGAGCTTAGGGGGAGAGTTACAACACAAAAATACATTTAAGGCGCAGCGAAGCACGCCGGGTAATTGCTAGTAATTTATAAAAATAAGTTTCTGAAAGTTAAATATGGGTGTTCACACTTACAAGTTTTAAGTTACAACATCAAAATACACGGTGGGGTGTTCTCAACCACAATGACATTAAAAAAATAAGTTCCTTTTTAAAATTTAAAAGTAAAAAAATATAAATTAAATAAAAAAGAATTTAGTAAATTAAAAAGAGAAAAATAAGTTCCTAATTAAAAGAAAGTTAAATAAAAATTGAAATAAAATAATAAGAAAAACTATAAATTTCTAAACATGAAATGATATGATTTTGAAACAATAAAACCTAAAAGCTAAAACAAAATAAAAAAATAAAACAAAATAAACTAAGCTTATGAAAATTATAAGAAATAAAAATATATGGATTAGTAAATTTATAATGCATCAAATAAAAAGTGGCAAAATCGAAAATTCAGAGTTACGTAAAGGCTGCGACCCTTAGAAGACGTCATGTCTGTAAATGCGTTAAAAAAATTTGCGATTCAGTTTGTTAAAACAGTTATCAGTTATTAGGTCAAGTCGGATCCTAATATTTTTAGGGTCGCTGATCACGAATATAGGCATCAGGATTTTGATAATAAAAATGGCGGATTCAATATGGTGGTAGATTTTATAAATATTTATCGGATGCTAGAATTCGTAACTCGGGGGGTATCGGTGTTGCTGAAAACGAATCTGAGCTCAGACTGGAAATATTCAAAATGGCGGACAATAAAAACAGAATCGATTGGATTCACTTAATCGGGCAGGTTCTGCAATTCACTTCCGAGTGAATTTCAACCCCTGCCAATTTGAATTCAAAGCGAGTTTGATTGAAATTCACTCGAAAGTGTCTGGCATTCACCTGCCTGAATATTTTACAATTGGATTAAAAAATTCAAAATAGCGGGTGCATATTAGATCTACCATTTATCAACGAAAAGTTAAAATCGAACGCACATACATACATGGCGTATGAGTTGCCCAGGCGAGATGAGAATGTTACTCATACGCTATGAACCACCAAAAGTGAAGCTTTATGCTTGAAACACATTGAAAACGACGGGCTGTTTTATGCTTTAAGCGGATCCAATCGATTGTTATATTTTTCCGCCATATTGAATTTAGATTCGTAATTCGCGACCCCGAGTAAAGAATTCTAAGTGAATCCGATAAATTAAAAAAACAAACAATCTACTATATTCGTGACTAGCGACGTTAAAAACATTACAATCCGTGTAGACCAAATAACTGACAACTGTTTTAACAAACTGAATGACAAATTTATTGAGGCGTCTTCTAGGGATGGCAGCATTTACTGAATACTGAATTTTCAATTCTGCCCAGTTTTGTTTGATGCCTTGTAAATTTATGGAAATTCTAGCAGAAATTTTGTTCGTTTCGCATGGAACGTCTCATAGACAAAAAAAATCGATGAATTTAAAAGAAAAAAAATCCGTTGCCTGAGGACTCGAAACTGGGATCTCTCGAATGGCACGCCAGGCTTTGCTCACTCCACTTGGTTCCACCGGTGTTGTGCCATCTTCAGTATAATTTTTCGTTCTCAATAGTTTCTGTTTGTCTGTCACTATTGGATATGTGTTCCCTTGTTTATGATAGTTGCAGTGTTTCTGTCATGTTTTGCGTATAGTAGCCTGGGTGGTTCGAAATTCCAACTTCGAATATTGTGTTTATTGCTCATCTATTATTTTTCCGACAAAAGCCTTTCTGTTGAGCACTGCTGCTACAACAACAACAATAACCCATAAAAGTATAATAATACTGAAGAACTAAAAATAATAAAATAAAAAATAAAAAAATTTAAATTATGGTGATTTCGTTTCTACCGAAAAATTTCGCCTTTTGATGGCCCGTTTCTCTTTTCGTGTTCAGTTCTAAAATAAAGGCAAGGGTGAGAAAATTTTGTTTTCGTTTCTTAAAATTCCAGACTCTTGTAAGGCAAAAAAGGCACATTCCCTGCCCAAATCGTGACCTTTTACAGGGTTGCCGGGGAAGGGCAACATTTTTTTTTAGAAACGAGATCATCATTAATTTCTCAAAGTTACATGAAATTAAAAAAATATTCTTTTTTGGACCATAACAACCAAGCCAACCAAATGAGTTTTTAAAAATCAAATTAAATTAAAAACAAGTAAAGAAGTATAAGTTTGGCGAAACCGAATTTTATATACCCAGCGCAGGTATTAATTATTCCATTCTATTGTTCCAACTTTCTTTAAACTACCTAAAAGTCTATAGCAGTCCTATTTATTGTTAAGAGATTGTTGTAAGTATTAACTTGGAGTAAATTAGCGACCTCAGTTATTGAAGTATAGCAGTTTTCATATATCCGAAAATTACCGTTATACGAGAAACCTGTGAAATTTTGGTCCGATTTGAATAATTTTCAACGAATTGCTTTTGCGTACCAAGGTTATCAAATACACCAAGTTTGGTAAAAATTGATAAATCGCTTACCGATTTCCAGAAAACTTCTTAGCTGGATCCCAAGCGAAGCTCGTACCAAGTTTGGTAAGGATTGGTGAAGTATTTCACCATAAAAGGGCGGGGTTACGCCCCTTTCACAAAAATGTCGTAATAATATTTTAATTTTCAATAATTTGGATCAAATATTTACTAAAATATCAGTTTTTGTATTTTTCGAAAATACCGTTATATGAGAAGTGTGCGTGGTCCGAGTCGTTCATTTTCAATACCAACCTACCTTGGATAAAGGGCAACGTATATACCAAATTTCGTTGAGATATCTCTATTTTTGCTCGAGTTATAGTATATACGGGTAGACGAGCATAGGGCCGAATATGTATAATACTAAGCTCGTTCTCAAACGTTATGCGTACATGTACATACACTGGTGCAAAAATAAATAAATTTCGCCAATTTTTCTTTGTTTATTTTATATTTGTTATTTTTTTATAAAAGTGTAGCTAATTATCTAACAAAAACCATATAAATTCACAATTCTAACCTTGAGTATGCAGTTTTATAGCGCACTATATTTTCGTAGAATAAAGTATAAGTTTTAGGTTGCTAAAAAATCGCGTTAATTTTAGGCAATTTTTTGATGCATTTTCTCTCATACAAAGTAGGTTCGACAATTAAAAAAAATTTTAAAAAGTATGTTCGACATTTTTTTTGTATGGAAAAAAGTGCGTAATAGATTCAGTAAAAAATTATTAAAAATGAACGCGATTTTTCAGGAACTTCAAACTTGCACTTCATTACACTAAAATTTAATGAGCAAAAATTAAAATTGAGATGCAATTTTACAGAATTTTTATAATTCTGGCACAAAGTTTGAAATATGAATTTATATGGTTTTTTTTAGATAACTTTTATAAAAAATTATAAATATTTAATAATCAAAAGAAAAAGGGGCAACATTTGTTAGAATGTCATGTCCCTATTAATTTTTCCACTACTGTATGTATGATGGATGAACACATTGGAGTACCAGTAACAATAAAGTTTTACTGATAATGAAATTAAATTTTCATTACCAGTAAAATTTTTAGTAATCACACTGAAAAAAAATTTCCTGTATTGCAAATGAAATTAAATTTTCCGTAAAAATTTACTGATTACTGCTATGACCAATGCACTATACTTACAATATAGAGTTATGAAGGTTATAAATAAAAAATCAATGCGCTCATTTTAGCTTGCCATTTATTTATCGCATATTAGACAATGAAAAACTCATCAAAAGACTTATGAAACTTTAACAATAGCGTTACCATTCGTTTATGTACATATGCAGACATATCGTACACGTTCTCCAAAAGTGTATCAACTCGAAAAACCCAGTTTAACAGAAAACTCAAAAACCCTTTTTCTGAGCAAAAAATTTCAATAGTATTACTTCAGTTTTTGCTGAAAGTAAATACATATATATATGTGTTGAAATTTTCATTTCATAATATCAATAATTACCAATTTCGAATCAATATACTTTTAAAAAACGTGTGCGATATTTCTTATGCAACCTAACTGCATAAAGTTGTAGGTTTGAAATTAAGCATTTTAGTTATATATGTTTGTAAATACATATATGCATTAATATCGTTCATCATACATCTTTATCAATACAAAACATTACAAAGTACTATACAATTTCTGCTGTTAAACGCATTCGCTTATTTACATACTACATACCTAATACATATTTTAATGGATTATGATACATAGTATATGCTGTTAAAAAAAAATCAGTTTAGATTTATTGTCGCATTGTGCTTACTACAGTTACATATGTATGTACGAGGATTGCTATTTGAGTGTTTAGATACGTCAAAACTAATGTGAATGTGCCAAATCTGAAACTGTCATCGTAAAGATAGACATTTATAATGGTACACATATACAGATACTTGTAAGCATTCATTTCAAAACATGTGATTTGAACGCATCGATCGCTTCTAAAGTCATGGAAAAACAGTGACCTCGTAAGCTCTTTTCAATCTGATAACAACACAAATAGCTCTCGTATGACAAAACGCTCTCAGTACCTTAACCATTAAAAATGCCCAACTTTGCAATGACAATGCCAGATTTGACATATTCACATAGTGTTGACGTTTCTAAACACTTTTTAAGTGGCGACCCTCGCATATGTAAATTAAATTAATCGCATTTCGTTATATATAAATTTAAATATTAGCACATATAAAAAGGAACAAAACTCGGCTCTCGACAAATTCGAATCTAAACGGGTAATATTTTAGTATATGACAGATTGCTCTGAAAATACTCGAACGTACTCGCATGTACCTACATACATATATTTGTATATCTAGAATTGATAATTGAACCATTTACGTTGACGCGGTTTATGAAAACAGCAATAATGTATAAAAATACTCATTTATAAATTATAAGTTCTTCGCTATACGGTTCTGTGCCGTTTGCCATTTATCAAGTAAAAAAAAAAAATTATGTAGATATATAACAAAATATAAATTAAGATACAAAATTAACAGCTTCATGATCTAAGCATCGTATCGGCCACGTTTCAAATGGAATAATTCCCTAAGAAATTCCTTNATTAACAGCTTCATGCTCTAGGCATCGTATCGGCCACGTTTCAAATGGAATAATTCCCTAAGAAATTCCTTAATTAAATCGTAGGCAGAGAAGCTGATGCCAACCGCAATTGGGCCTTTAATCCAGTTCATGCTAAGGCCTTTGTAAAAGCCATTCTTGATACCTTCCTCCCTAAAGAGCGTTAAAGTGTTATAACAGATTAATTATAGACATTTTAAATTATTTATAGATTTGTTACGATGACTTACTTGTAAATCTTCTTCAGTGTTGAGTATATGGTGCGATATTGATTATTAGCGCCTTTATTGACACCCATTGTTTGCATTCGCCGACGCACTATGTCCAACGGATAGCTAGAAGTCTGACCCGCTGCACCAGCAACAGCACCAAATGCCAGTGAGACTAGAGTATTCGGTTTAGCGTTTCCTGTCACCTCTGTTGTAGACATGCAGCATTATAATTGAAATAATAGTTGTTAAAGATTTATAAATATTACACATTTTCTGTCTTCTAATTATTTTATTGGATAAATTAACTTTCATTAAAACTTACCATAATATTCACGCTTAAGTGTGCCGTAGGTGAAGAAGGATACTCCTGCATATGGTATCACACCCAGTACGGTTGCAAAATAACCTCGGTAAAGAGTGCGTGGCCCTTCTTCCACCCAAATTTTGACAAAAACTTGACGAAGTGTTCTGCAAAATAAAGTTATCTAATTACCAAACAAAACTCTTTACGCCTCACTTTGTGGAACAAAGCGTGTTTCAAGTAAAAAATATCCTGAACTACTTGCCGCTCATTTACTTCAATAGTGTCATAACTCAAAAAAGTAATAGGCTACATAGATGATGCGTCTGACTCGAGTACGGCTTTGAATTTACATACATATACTCACATAGTGAAAATGAATAGATTTTTTGTTCTAGTGAGATACTGCTAATCAATACAGCTATGAAATTTTTACACAACATAGAAGAAGAGGTGACGGTAATTTCTACATACTTAACTCAATACTTGTATTTTTCGGAAAATGACACTATTAAAGTAAATGTGTTCTAACATTTTTTTTTTTTAATAAGTAAATCGACCATTTTTGATTTGGATGAATTTTGAAAAGATTCGAAAAATATAAAAATTTACAGAACTTTGAAATTTTACTATACAGTACTCTCACCGATCTTAAAAGATCTTGAAATTTTCAACAAGTTTTTTACAAACTATAAAATAAAAATCAATTTCAATTAAATAAAAATTGATAAGCTTATTTCGGGGGAAAAAATGTTTTTAGGTCAAAAATTCATACGTTAAAAATATTAATATTAAAACGAGGGCAGAACCATTTCTCAAACTACAATAGTTTTTTGAAATATTCAAAAAATAAACTTTCAAAATCTCTGAAATTGTGAAATTTAGAATATTGCATAATTTCAAGAAGAAATTTTAATATTTTACCTTTGTAGAACTTCGTTATATGATAAAAGAAAAGTTCTGAACAAAATTCATCCAAATCAAAAATTGTCGATTTGACATGGATTGAGCTTAGTTTACATACAAATATTAAGATAACAAATAAAAAAGTCTAAGTTCGGGCGAAGCCGAACATTAAATATCCGGCGCACGTATTAAATATAGTTTTTCAATCGTCCAAAAACTACCGTTACATTGTAAGCAGGGCGTGGTTTTATCCGTATTTCAAACATCTTCGATAAATGAGATTAATTTTTATAGTTATTAGTGGGCGGTATCACGCCCATTTTCCAAAATTCCTTTATATTATTATAAGGATACTTCTTTTCAAGGGATTGTGTGCGTATCAATTTTGAGTAAATTAACGTCCTAAATTTCGAAATATCGAAGTTTCAGCATTTCTAAAATTTACCGTTATATGAAAAGTGGGTGTAATTTAAGTCCGATTTCTAAAATTTTCACGGTTTTACCTTTTATGCGACAAGTACAACAATTATAGCTATTTTGGTACAAATTGATAAAACGGTTGCCGAGACACACATATGTGGTAATAAGTGTTATGTGAACAAAGTGCATAAGTGCGCTCGGGTATTCAAAATAGCTTGGAACCACAAATGGAACCAAGGAGAGTTGTGCGCTTGTACTTAAGTAATTTTCAAAGAACATACTTATAGCCAGTGTATTTGTCTGTGACAGCCATGCGGGCGCGTGCCAAATCGAGTGGGTATGTCAACGACTGAGAAGTTATGCCAGCCAAGGATCCAGCTATAAAACGTCTGCCTTTAGTGCTGTGAGAAAAAAAAAATATATCTATGTAAGTGTGGAAGTAAAATTATTATTTTAAGTTATCTAAACGAGCATTCCAAGAAAAAAGCCAAACTAGTTACTTTTCCGGATGAATTTTTCAACAGAAATGTAAACGGATTTTCCTTTCAGCGGAAATCCCTTTTTAAATATGTATATAAATTGACATAGAAATCGATCTTCCAATTAAACAAAAATTAAATAGCCGTTATCAATCATTTTCATCTCCGGACATCAACAAATCATAGACCCGGAGTAACTTCACGAATTATCAGTGAATGGGCGTAAAGTGACATGCAAAAATTATACATAATTAAGCGAACATCTAAATTTATAAAACGTGTACGTGTATTTATAACGTGTACGACTAGTTCCGTATCAACGATGGAATGCTCCTAAAGATCTTTCAAACGATTCAAAAAATTATTATTGCAATACTTTTGGAGTATACATAATAAATACGTAAGTATTAGGGCTGTGCGATTAATTGATTACTCAAAATTTTAATTAATCATAAAGTAAATAACTTAATTTTTCGATTAATTTGAAATTATGATTACTCAAAAGTTCAGTTACTCGAGTAATCAAGATTTTTGATTAACCAGAAACAAAACTATTTGAGTAATTTGCTTTATGATTAATCAACTTTTCGAGTAAAATGAGTAATCAACATTTGAACTCTTTACATATGTAAAAAGTAGTTAAAGTTCCTTGATACTTTGAAAACAACGTTTCTGTTTTCAAAAATTAAAACGAAAGATTTTTTCATATACAGAATGTAAAAAAGAAAATAAGCATTTTCCAAAGTAAACTCTTTTAACGAGCAAAATTATTTTTTTGAGTATTCATATTTCAAGTAACTCGATTAATCATCGTTTTGAGTAATCAAAATCTTGATTACTCGAGTAATTGATTAACCGAATAAATCGAATAATCGCACAGCCCTAGTAAGTATACATATAAATACTGTCAATCCCTATAACTTACTCGCTGCCGTCCTTATCCACTTGTAGTATTTTCCGCCATTGTTCGTGTGCCGTAAACTGTATGGCTGCATAAGGCACAATGCGCGCCATTGTAGCCGAATTGCCGCGCCATAACGCCAAGATACCCTCTTTTTCGTAGGTATTTCTCAAAAAGTTTACCGCAGCCTTGAATGAGTAGGGAACATTTTTACTGTGAAAAATTTAATTAAATCAAGGATTAATTTTATGTTTCCATACTAGATGGTCTGTTACAGTACTCCAGAATTTATGTAGTTAGAAATTGGTCAAATTTAATCCGAAGGATAGTATTGAATATACTGACTATTTACAACTATGTAAATCCTGGCGTAAGGAAACACGCTAATTCTTTGTTTTAATATTTTCACAGCTTACCTAATTTGAAAGTTGATTTTCGTGCGATCCAGCGGTGCAATAGTGGTTTTCGCTAAAGCTCCAGCGGCTGAACCGGAAACTAAACTAATGAAAACTTCATCGAAAATTGTGTTGGCTGTGAAAAAAGAGTGGGTGGTGAGGTGCCGTACTGAATAGTAAGATTTCTATTCTACTATATACATGTATGTATGTATGTATGTGCATATGTTACTCACCATTATTATTCGCCGTTGCGCTGGTTACCGTTAATTGTTTGGTATTCGCTTCTGTTTGGCTTTGTACTGCAGCCTCTGTGGTACTGACGTTTAATCCAGTTGCATTGCCGCCAACTGCAGCACCCGAAGATAATTGACTACCTGACGACGACTTAAGGGACATCGCAATGCTGGGCTGCTCGAGAAGACGGCTCATTGCAAACTGAAAGCAATTAAAGGAAGTTGTATGTACATATGTGAAATTAAGGATCTTAAGAGTTGACACATTTTCATAACAGATAAAAATAGATATTAAATTAGTTGTGTTCATAAGTTAATTAACGGCGAAAAATGATTGCCATTTGTAGAGCTTCATTTGCATACGAGCGTGCCGAAGAGGATGCTCTGCGAGAATTAATGCAATATACTAGTACATATGGGCGATTCCAGCGAAAAGTCTACCTCAACAAAAAAAAACAATAACAGTCATATATCTAACTTTTTTATAGGTCGGTTTGGATGATTTTATAATATATGTTGGTATGTAAGTACTATGTACGTATGCTTGTATTTAGATCTGTATATAGTATGTATGTACATACACACAGTGGCGAGCAGAAATGAGTATACGGTGATTTTTGTTAAATATCTGCAAGGGTTTTACAGTTAAAATTTTTTTGTTATTTTTTCATAAAAAATATGATTTATGCTTTAACCAAAACCATATAAATAGAACTTTCAAACTTTATACAGAGCTTAGAAAAATTTAATAAATTTTCAATTTTTAATTTGATTTTGTAGAATATTTTTTGAGTACGCAGTTTGATAGCCCATTAAATTGTAGTATAATAAAGTGCAACTTTTAAGCGGCGTTGATTTTTAATATTTTTTTCGCTGACGGTTTTTCCGGGTTTTTTCTTCAACACGTGCAATTTATAACATTTTGGCGTTGATTTTTTTTTTTGTTAATTTTCTTTGCAAACGGTCTCGCACATTTTCTTCCATAATTGCATAACCAAGTTCTAAAAAAATAAGATTAAAAGGTACAAATTCTGGATGAAAATTTGTTACATTTTTCTAAACTCTGGGTAAGGTTTTAAAGTTTAATTTATATGGTTTCGGTTAAAGCATTAACCTTTTTCTGATGAAAAAATAACTAAAAAATTTTTACTTTAAAAAGCTTGCAATTATTTAACAAAAATCACCGTGCACTCATTTCTGCTCCCCACTGTCTGTATGTATTTACATATGCAGGAAATTTTTAGAGAAATTTATGCAAATTTTGTTAGATTTGAAAATTAATACTAAAACCAAATTGAATGCCAACCGTTATGATAAATCCACTGCATATATTGCATATCAGCTGAAGCACAAAAAGTTAGCGTAAATAAACTGATCTATGTAGGTATATTCAGTTCTTTGCTTTCCACATTTGCTAAATAACATTTTAGCAGCTATTTTTAGGTTTTGTCAGAATATATTTATCTAAAATTGCGTCGTGCTCACACATACATATGTACATATCGTCACTAGATAGGAATAAAAGCGCACAATAAAAACTTCAGCGAAGAAAGTCTCTTAACATAGTTGACGGCGAAAAAAGACGCGTAAACTTATTTTCGCGGTCAACTATGTTTGCGGGTGTAATAGTATGTGCATTCCGTAAATAGTTTTTGGGGAATAATGCTGAAGTGACAGTCCTTGGCCAAGCATATATCTATGATTACGCGTCTTTCTTCCCCGTCAAATTGGTTACGCGTCTTTTTTCGCCGAAGTTTTTCTTACAACTTACCATGACTCGCAGGCTGTGAATGCCGCGATCGTAGCCCAATTGCAGGCACAGAGCTTCGACTGCCACGAAATACCCGCGTTTCTCTGATTTGATACCGTGTCCAGACTCGACACCCAAAATATCCCCAACGAGTGTCCGGCAAGTGGAGACTCCACCCATCACACCAACCATCTCTTCACATGTCAGCCTATCCTACTCAGCTAACCCCTCTCCCACAGCGCGTTTATTGGTCCTACCGTAAGTTGAGCTTGGCCACAATGATTGATGGAAAACTGACCTGGGCGGCGCTAATTAGTGTCGCTACAATTACACCCACCTTCTCTGTGTGGCATCAGGCCTGGTAAGTCTACCATTGACTAAATTTAACAGCACATCAAATCCCTGAGGAGACACTGGATATACAAATCGACACACACAACCTGTTTGTCGATTTTAAAGCCACTCTTGCCAACAGGTAATACTCTGGGCTCTGTAGGCAATTGGATAGCTTAGCCCTTTCGCGACGAACATTAGTTACGCTCTAAAATTTTTCGTAATGCCCTTTGTTCTATATGGCGCAGAAACATGAAAAAGGCGAGAAGGCTTTCCGTGGTTTCGAGAAAATTAAGCTACGTGAGGAAGATGGAGCTTTTAATGACTTGGACAAAGTTAAGCGCATAAAAATACGATTGCGCTGGCTTGGCCATGTGTTGTGCGCATCGATAACGATACTCAGGTGAAAAGATCCTTCGAATGGGCACCCATCGGTGGACACCAAATAAGCTAGCAGCATCAACACCTATAGCTTGTAGATGGAGAAAGATACGGGTAAAGTACTCTTTAAGGACACCAGCAATGCAGATCAAATACTCACATCGTTTGCTTGATGTCTACAAGTTCTTACAAATAGAAATATTTCTGTACATAAAGAACCTTTTTGACAGGAAACATCACTTTATACGTTGAGAGCGGGACTAGGAGTGCTACCACAATGGAACTGTGGTCTGAATGCAGAGAAATGTTCTTCCATTCGGAACTCACAGACTCGTTCATAATAGATAAATACACAAAGCGCATTCAAAAATTCGAACATAATTTTTTTTTTCGCGTAATGATCAAAGTCATTGCACCTGAACAAATGAAGACCGTAATACTCTCAATGTTATTTATATCTGTGGTCATAAGCAATAACCGCTGAAGTCGAAAAACCCGAACTCAGGAAAAAATAAGAATAAGATAGCATATATAACTCAATTCTTTCTTAAGTCGACTTAGGCGGTTATTGCATATGACAACAGATATACACCCCGCGACAAAAGATAGCACATCAACATTTCTACCAGGTTTGACTACTTTTATTTAGCTTTTTTTAAGGTTCATTATTTTTATATACAACTATACCTCTTTATCCAACCAATACCGTATAAATCCAAATGTCAGACTTTGTAAAGAAATTATTAAACTTCCACAAATTTTTAATCTCAGTTCCCAGCATTTTAATTTTAATTTCTAGAATAATTTTTTGTATGCAGTTTTATAGCTTATTAAATTCTAGTAAAGTGCAGGTTTGAAGTAGCTAAAAAATCGCGTTGGTTTTTGATAATTTTTTTCTGACCAATTGTCAGCAAAAAAGAATTCTCAAAAATCATCGCGATTTTTAAGCCGGTTGAAACTTACTTTTCATTAAACTAAAATTGAATGGGCTACAAAACTGCATACTCGAAAATTTTCAAGAGATTCTGAATAAAAAATTGAAATTTTTGATGAATTTTTGTAAATTTTTGTGAAGTGTGAAGCTTCGATTTTATGGTTTATGTTTCATGAAAATAACTGCGAATATTATATTAAAACAAGGCGTACACTTTCAGTTGTCGCCTAGTTTACGTACACTGAACCAAAAATCTATCTCTGGATCAAAAAAAAACTTTCCTTACTTTAAGGTCGAAAATTCTTTCGAATGAGTAAAAAATTCTCCCGAATCAGTAATTTTTCATTGGATTGTTTAAAACGTACACGAAAATATGGAACCGTGGATGCAATCTATCATTTTGAAGAAATGTTGGGCATGAAAAGAGGATAAAACTTCTTTAGTGCTATTTCGTTCCCATTTTTCTTTATTTTGATTGCTGTTTTTCTTCAATTCAGAGAAGTTTTTTTTGAGTGTATGTAAATATCGAGGAGGTACCAAACCATACCATGCTAAGTCATCAGAAATTTAGGCAGACTTAGCATAGTATGGTTTGGAGGCATCGATATATCCAAGTTAGGTCATTTGTTATGGCGTGATTTAACTGTCTGGACATGGCAGTCTATTATTTTATTTTTGCAGTGTTTCCGCACCAATCAACACAATTAATTTGTGAGAAATTTGCCAATTTTCCATACCGCACATGGCTCAGATCAACTCAAATGATAGTATTGTTAAAGACCTCGTATGACTACTTAATACCTGGCGGGGGGTCCGCAATAAATACATACGAAATTTCGCTACTTACGACTGCCTTGTGAATACCGCAATTGTATTGTGCTTCCTCAAAAAAATAAGGTATGACTGTTCGCAATCTAGTTATTCCCATTTCTGATGTATTTTTCAGGCGACTAATTGGTGCATTGAAATATACATGTGTATGGGTGTATCTATTTATATACGCCCTGTAGGGAAAGCTACTAGTTGTGAACTAGAATTCTACCAGTTTGCGTTTTAGCCCAACTAGTTCACGTTCTATCCTTTTTCAATGTTGGCGACTGGTATTTTTAACATGGCGATGTACTACGAAATGTCAGTTATCAGGCATCAGCATCTACTACTAGAAATACTAGTAGCATACCAGTTGATGAGATAATCTGCCAATTCATCCAACGTGGAAAGCATAAGTATGACATTTTACTCGCGGCGCCCCAACAGTCGCAATGGTCGACAGGGCAAAGCACTGAGCACAGGTGAAGGGAATTTTTTTGTTATTTTTGTAAATTCATTTTAATTTTATATAAATACATATATATATATTAGTTAAATTTAAAAATTACAATTAAAATCTAAACAAAATAAATGAATTACAAAACTTTTCCCGGCACCTGACTTGAACTTGTATTATGGCGCAAGTATTTCTTACCACATGTATGTTTTTCTGCAATTTGTAATTTATATTTATATTTAAATTGAAATAATAACTGAAGTTAATTCAATTTGAAAAATCTTAGCCACCTCCAGGTGGACTGGAACCTGCGATCTCAGAACTAGAACCAGTTGTCTTCACGCAACGCCACAGCTGACATTTGTATGAAAAGCGATTAATTGCGTTTTATTTTTGGCTTTGGCAATTCAAAGGCAGATGCCGCTGAACGCTTAAGTTCTTCGAAATTGTAGAAATGGTAGGTCATCACTTTAGCACATACTAGTTAATGAACTGGTATTTTTACTGATTGGTTTGGCTTTTCACTGCACGGTGTATGTTTAATAGGGTGCTCCAGAAAAAGT